CAAAAGCAATTCAAATTGATGAATGTTTTTCGTTCTCTCTCGATGTTCTGGATGTAGAAAATCCAGAACAGAAAACAGAAAAAAGTATCAATCTTGATTCATAGTGAAAATCCACCCACTATCCATTCTTACTATCAATTTTTTTCAAAGAGAATAGGAAACATGTGAAAATAGTAGTTGTTCAATTGATGATGATGATCATCATCATCATCAATTGATGGTGATAATTAATGATAAACATGATTATTGTTGATGTTGAACATTTGCTGCTGCTGCCTGCATCAAAATAAGATGTGAACCAGATGAACAAGAAAAAAAGAGAGAATTTTTCAATCATTTTGATTGAAAAAGAAACAAAACAAACTAAATTGGATTTTCTGTGTTTTTTTTGTGTGTTTCCCGATCAATTTTCCTATTTGCCGTATTTGATGGTACGGTTATTCAGAATCTAGAATAGTGGACATGGCAAAACACGAAAATCTTCTTCTTTTTATCGCATTTATTTACCGTCCTTGTCCATATTGTTCGATGTAAGGATGATGATGATTGAAAATCTAGATCAAATCAAATCGAAAACATTGTTTGTTTGTAACTTGTTAGACAATTTCTTTCTGGCCAATTTTCACATTGATGTAGTGATTTGATTGATTTATAAACAAAAATCAATCAATCAAATCCATTCTTCAATAATTAAAAGCGGCAAAACAAATTAAACATTTCAAATTGACATTAATTATCAACAACATCATAAAAATCCTCAAAACAAAACAGAAAAAAATGATGTTTTCAAAAAAATGACCTAATTAACAAGCGAAAAACAACCGAACAACCAAACAAACGACAAATTGATAAATCCTAATCAAAATTTACAAATGACAACAACAACCGACAACGGGAAGAAATTACAAGCCGAATTAAGCCGAAAATCTTAAAAAATCCAAAACCAGATGTGTATATCTTTATCCAATGAAAACGAAAAAACATTTGATGACATCCATGATATCATCCATGATGTTTTAAAGCAGCGAAAAAAAAATCAAAAATCAAAAAATCAAAGTAAAAAAAACATGATATGCACATAAAAAACAACATACTTTTTTTTTCTCAAATACAAAGAAAAAAATACATCAAACATCCATTGATCATCATTTGTAGCAAGAAGAAGAAAAACAACAACTAAACTTTCAATTTGATAAATGTGCGTGTGTTTCGATGTTTCGAGATGTTTTTTTTGAATGGAAAAGTTTATCAAAAGAAAAACCTACATATAATTATTATTATTTTGGTAGTCTAAATGCGTAAATCCTGTCACATATTCTTTCCAATCTTCTTTTCAGTTTTTCAGTTTCAGTGTAACTAAACTAAATAAGTAAAAATCCATTCAAAAAAAGTAAATGTGAAAAATAGCAAACGAGCGAATTGAATTGAGTGAATGAATGAATGAATTGCCTAATTGAATTAAATCAAAAAAACGAAAAAAGGAACGGAAATAAATTTCCAATTCGATATTGTCATTTGTCATTTTTGTTTTCTTTTCTTTTGGTTTTTTTCGCTTGGTTTTTGCTTCTTGTTGTTAAATAATCTCGTAGATAATGTATGTTTGCGTAGTGAATGAATGAATGAGGTTAGGTTAGGAAATACAAAACCATCGAAAAAATGATGATGATGATGAAGTCAAGAAATGTTTCATGTTACACGCAGTGGAAATTAACTGGTAACGAAAACGAATAAAAATCTGGGTGACAGAAACCAGAAAAAAGTAAAACAAAAATCACGAAACTAGCTTCGTATTTCATCATCGAAAAATGGCAGAATCGATCGCCATTATACCAAATTTGCTCAAACAACAAAAAAATCGGTCATCAAACAAACACCAAAAAAGGACAATCAACTGAAAAAACATTTGGACTTTGACATTCATTAGCCTTGAAAAAGACAAGACAAAATTGATAAGATTGGTGTGTGGTGGCAATCCATCTATCCATCCATCCATCCATTTACAGATTCAGTATTTTGTTTTTTCTTTCTTCGAAAAAAAAAAATGTGACAAGATTCATGTTTGTTTCTTTCTGTGAGATAATGGCGGTCATTCGTTTCGGTAAAAACAAAGAAACTTTCTAGAAACATGAAACATAAATGAATAAACGTTATCATTCGTTGTTTCGTCGTTGATTGATAAGAAGATTTTCAGAGAAATTTTTCCGAAAAACCTAAATCAAATGGATCAATCAAGAAAAGGACAGAAAGAACGAACCGAAAGCCAAACATATTGTGTTTGTTTGTTTGTCAAACATAAGATTCGAGAGAGGGAACAGAAACAAAAAAATCATATGATAAAGACGACAACCAACCAAAAAGATATATTCTTTCTTTCATTCAAGTTGACGATGAAGATGTTTGTTTGTTTGTATGTTTGTTCATAAAAAAACTTGTTCATTTATAATTGATACAAGCTGCTGGATGACATTTTTTTTAAAGAAAATTTTAAAAATCTTCAGAAAAAAACTGATGTTACATGGCAAGCAAGCGAAAAAAGTTTTTTTGCAAAACATTTTTTGACAATAACAGCACACAAAAAGAAAAGATTTACTGATGATGATACACACATACACACAGATCGGGATCAATTTTCAAAATTTGATCCTGGTTTTTATTTTCAGCAAAAAGTTTGACTTTATATCAATGTTGTTGTCGTTTTTTGCGCAAATAAAAATCAAAAACCACACAATTGCAAAAGCAGAAACCGAGAAAAGCTACCGAATGTCTTTTTTCTTGAAATTAACAATGTTCAATTTTGCAAGGCGGCATTCTTATGACCAGAACAACAAAAACAAAAAAC